CCTTCACCTAAGGGGTGAGAGAAAGTTATTGGCCCAAGATCACCCTGTTAAAAGTTCATGATCTTGTCCCCACACCCACAATCCATCACATGGCCCAATATTCTTCTTCCACGCTGGCGTCCACACCCATCTTCTTCCGGTCCAGGTGTACTGGTGTGGAGACAAAGCATGACCTTGGCTTCTAGTAAAGAATGGAAAACAATACATTCCAAGATCTCACTCCTGTCTATTCCCCCTTCCCATCAACTATACTAAAGAAACAGCGGCAGGCCAAAATTCTAAAGGGAATATAAACGCAGACCTGACACACTATTTAGGTCAGAAAAAGTCAAATGCTTATGTGTGGCTGAACCTGTTTACTAGTTCTTCTCTGAAACTCTGGATAGCTGCCTGTGAAAATGTGCTATTTGATGAGGTTAATACGTGGAACACTTGTTATTTCCAGGTTGAGCTAATTAAAGCAGGACTTCAAGCATCATTATTGGTGAAAGCTCCAGAGACTGGAGAAATATTTGTGAATTTTGATCCTGAGATTCTCACCTTAATCAGGGAAGCGAAATGCATGTCACGCATGGGGCTAGAAATCCCACCACTGGCCATTGCTATTCAAGACAAACAGGATGCTTACAAACGAAATTTCAATAAACTACAGGTAAAAGGCTTTATTATTATTTTTTTAAAAAGGCATCTCCCCCCCCCCCGACTTCTTTAAATAGTTGCATAACATTTGCTGCTAAACATACCCATAAAAAGCTGATTTAGTTCAGGTTCTCTAGCCCCTGAAACGGGGATCTGACTTAGATGTAAAGATGAATAAATTATGGCTACATTTATTTCATTAGCTAACAAAAAAAAGGAAGTTTGAAGGTCTCTGTCTAGTTGTCATTTAAAGAACTTCTGCATACTTTATACTTCAATGTGCTGAAAAACAATCACAATAACCCTGTTTTACTTCCTCTTAATTTCCAATCGCAATATTTGATTTTTTGACCTATTTTCAATATTTCTATTTTCAGTCACAGGTTATGCACATAAACTTTGAAATGTTTGCAACAGATCGTGACCCGTTAAGTGAATCTGCAATTGTACTATCAGTTAGAAATTAAGTTGGTTCTTTTTCAGATGATGCTGGCAGAATATAAGAGAGTAAAATCAAAAATCCAAGTCCCGCTTCATGCTCTAATGGCTCCTCATTTGGCTGAAGTGGATGAGTCGATCCAACCAGGAATAACCGCACTGACCTGGACATCCCTGAATATTGAAACCTATTTGGAGAATATTTTCAGTAAACTTAGTAAGTCTTTGTATATAGTCTATTTCAGTTTTTCTCAAACCTCGTCAAGTTTAAGATGTCTGGACTTCAACTCCCAGGATTCCTCAGCCAGCATAGTGGCTGGGGAATTCTGGGAGTTGAAGTCCAGACATCTTAAAACTTGCTAAGGTTGAGAAATGTTGCATCTGTCTAATCTTCATGGTATATAGATAGATCCGGCAGTAATGACTGAAATTCATGAACATAAATATATATAAATATAAAATGTAAAATAATATAAAATGTAAAATGTAAAATGTAAAATGTAAAATGTAAAATGTAAAATGTAAAATGTAAAATAATATAAAATATAAAATAATATAAAATATAAAATAAAATAAAATAATAAAGGTATGTTTGTAGATAATATGTGAAATACCATATCTTCAAAATAAACTTGTTTAATAAAAAATTAAAAGGTAAGCCTTAAAAGATAAAATGTACATAAATAAAGTCCATTAATAAACATATAATTATAGTTATTCTTTGTTTATTTATTTTTAATTCCTCCTAGTTTGGACTGTGGAGATAGACATGTGGATCTTCAGGGAATAGGCATGCTGGAAGACAATTTATCATCTATGGCTCATTTTTCCAATACCGAGAAATTGTCTGGTTTAATGAAAAAGAGGACTAGGGGTGACATGATAGTAGTGTTACAATACCTAAGGGGTTGCCACAAAGAAGGCAGGGCCAACTATTCTTCAAACCACCTGAATGCAGGGCAAGAAGCTGTGGATGGGAAGAGGAGAGAATCAACCCTTTCCAAAGAGAAATTTCTTGACAGAACAATTAATCAGTGGAACGACTTGCTTCCCGAAATTGTGGGTGTTCCAACATTGAACGTTTTAAAGAAGAGATTGGACGACTATTTGTCTGAAATGTTACAGGGTTTCCTGCTTGAATAGAAGGCTGGATGAGCAAACCTCCAAGGTCCCTTCCAACTCTTATTACTGTATTATTCTGATATTCGTTGATATTTTTCGTTAGAGAATTCACACAGCATGAGGTTGCTGTTGTGGCCGTAGCAAAAGAAATGAAAAGGTTTTGATTTACATAGGTGGAAAAAATCTTGCCCTGTGGGACTTTTTTAATCTTTAATGTACATTCAAGTGCTCATTCTATTGCAGGAAAAGGCATCTGTGATTACATTTCTTTGAACTTGGCTATGCCTGTAGTGAGAACACAGCCATTGTGGTTTGTAAAAAGGGGGGGAAAAAGTGGGGGGGGCTTAGCTTAAGGTAGCAAGCTTGTGTTTGCCGCCTGCTTTTATTGGAAAGGCAGAAAGAGATAAACTGAAAGAGATAAACAGCCTTGAGCTCTTGGAGGAAGGACAGAAAAAAAATGATGCAATAAATCAATAAATATGAAGTCTTCATCTACTGCTTTCCTTTAAGGGTATATTACAATAAAAGCTGCACTCTGTTTTGAGCATCTTTTGAGACGGATCCCACTGAAATGTTTTCTTTTGCCCCTTTGACAATTTTGAGGTTGAATTCTGCTACCCTAGAAAGATGATGCTTAAAGTTGGTGTAAAATACCGCCATGTTCCTCATAAACCTTTTCAGAGAGAGGCTTAGCTACTAAACAGATTGTCTTGGTAATGAAACGCATCTTCTTTGCTTTTCAAGATAACCTTGAGCTGTTACTTGATCGAGTAAATGACTTAATAGAATTTCGTATTAGCGATGTCCTTCAAGAAATCAGTACTGTGCCCCTCTGCAGTCTTCCTGAAGATGACCCACTGACCTGCGAACAGTTCCTTAGCATGACAAAGGTACAATCGTATAGTTTATTTTTCTGTAATGGGAAACTGATCTATGTAATTCCATCACTATTTTCAGAGTGAAAGTAGTAGCTAACAATTACACGTTCTTAACAAGCACACCAGTGGTGGGATTCAGTTTTTTTTTACTACTGGTTCTGTGGGCGTGGCCTGGTAGGCATGGCATAGTTTGGTGGGTGTGGCTTGGTGGGCGTGGCTGGGAAAGAATACTGTAAAATCTCCATTCCCTCCCCACTCCAGGGGAAGGTTAGTGCAAAATTCCCTTTTCCTCCCGATCATCTGGGACTCGGGAGGCAGAGAGTAGATGGGATGGAGCCACTTAGAGGTGGTATTTACCGGTTCTCTGAACTACTCAAAATTTCTGCTACTGGTTCTCCAGAACTGTTCAGAATCTGCTGAATAACACCTCTGATGCACACAAACGCATTTCTTTGCAAAGAAACATAAATAAATTTCTTGGGCCTAATCTGGGTGAGAGCTTGTTTGCTGTAGTGGTTCCGGTACCAAGCTAGAAACCAGAAGAACAAAAGTTCTAGGCCCACCGCTCTACATGGGGCAGCCCTTGAAGAGCATTCGGAGACTTCAGCTTGTCCAGAATGCAGCCGTGTGAGTGATTGTGGGTGCACCTCGGTACACCCACATTACACCTATCCTCCGCGAGCTGCACTGGCTGCCTATTGGACTCCGGACGCGTTTCAAGGTGCTAGTCATTACTTTTAAAGCCCTACATGGTATTCAGGGGTGGGTTTCTCGCCCCGTTCCAACCGGTTCAGTTGGAACGGGGCTGGCGGCGTACTAGCGTTTGTGCGATGCTCCAGCTGCTCCTGGAGGATCACGCAGGCGCTGTAT